GCAAAGCAGGAGGTGAAGCATTGCTGAATATGTTTCCAAACAAACTATCTTCCAAGCCAAAGACTAGAAAATCTGCTGAAGCATATCTTCTCTTTGGTTTCACCTGCACAAGTGCCGAGGTAGGTCTCCCCTGCAGGATTGGTTTTCCCTTCATTGGGAGCAGCGCTGGGCTTTTCATATCACAGACAAACAGTATCCCACATTATTGATTTTTAGTTCACAAACACTTGTTGTAACGACTAACTACTCCTGACATTTTGGGGACGTTAGCTCTTTATACAGTAAAGTTACAGCTGGATACAAGTAACATCAGGCTGATCCTGCCACGATTTGTCACCCCGGTTCAAATCACGGACAAACAGTATCCCACAGCTGTTTATATTTTTAAACCCATTTTGCACAGAGAGGCATTTTTTTTGAAAAATGTATTGATAGCAATGTTGAATATTATTACACAGGAAAAAAAAACCCAACTACATGTAAAATAATCACACGGTGACGCCTCTGCCTCTGTAAATGGAGAGACAGTAACTGCGTGTAAAACCTGAGGATAGTCGGATTAACAGTAACAGTATTTCGTCTCTCTCTGCCATTCTGCAATTCATCTCATGTAAACAATAAGTGGCGCACAGCGTGATGTGAAAAGAGGCACATACCAGAGGAACTCTGTATTCCTCGTCCACACGTAAACCACAAAAAAGGAGTTTTAAAAAATCGCAGTTTTCGGTGATTTGAAACGCCGTTTACGTGTGGACGAAACAGCTGCGTTTTCACAAATACCCGTGTAGGTGCGGACGTAGCGTAAAAGAGTTAGTAGTTTATTTTATTACTACCTGTCATTTATTGCTGGTTACTTGCTTAATTGTTTACTAAATATTTGAGGTGTGGAGCAAAATATGGGCGTGTGTGGTTGGAGGATGTGTTAGTGCGTGTGTGCGCGCGCGGGGGGGCAAACGTTTTTCGTGTAAAACAAAGGGGGGCCCAGCAAAAAAAAGTTCGGGAACCACTGTATTAGCAGCCACTTAATACGATTAAGTCCACAATTCACACCAATTAAATGGTAATTGTTGGGTCTGTCTAGCACAGGCCCACCGCTGGAACGAGACAATTTAAAAACACAGCAAAAGCATTGAACACCAAGTAGGCAAAGTTCT